CCCTACAAACTGGACCCTACAAACTGGACCCAATAAACCTGACCCTACAAACTGGACCCTACAAACTGGACCCAATAAACCTGACCCTACAAACTGGACCCTACAAACTGAACCCTACAAACTGAACCCAATAAACCTGACCCTACAAACTGGACCCAATAAACCTGACCCTACAAACTGGACCCTACAAACTGAACCCTACAAACTGAACCCAATAAACCTGACCCTACAAACTGGACCCAATAAACCTGACCCTACAAACTGAACCCTACAGATCCGACCCTACAAACTGAACCCAATAAACCTGACCCTACAAACTGGACCCAATAAACCTGACCCTACAAGCTGGACCCAATAAACCTGACCCTACAAACTGAACCCATTAAACTGAACCCAATAAACCTGACCCTACAAACTGGACCCTACAGATCCGACCCTACAAACTGAACCCAATAAACCTGACCCTACAAACTGAACCCAATATACCTGACCCTACAAACTGGACCCAATAAACCTGACCCTACAAACTGGACCCTACAAACTGAACCCAATAAACCTGACCCTACAAACTGAACCCAATAAATCTGACCCTACAAACTGGACCCTACAGATCCAACCCTACAAACTGAACCCAATAAACCTGACCCTACAAACTGGACCCAATAAACCTGACCCTACAAACTGGACCCTACTAACTGGACCCAATAAACCTGACCCAACAAACTGGACCCAATAAACCTGACCCTACAAACTGGACCCTACAAACTGGACCCAATAAATCTGACCCTACAAACTGGACCCAATAAACCTGACCCTACAAACTGGACCCAATAAACCTGACCCTACAAATTGGACCCAATAAACCTGACCCTACAAACTGGACCCAATAAATCTGACCCTACAAACTGGACCCAATAAATCTGACCCTACAAACTGGACCCAACAAATCTGACCCTACAAACTGGACCCTACAAACTGGACCCAATAAATCTGACCCTACAAACTGGACCCTACAAACTGGACCCAATAAATCTGACCCTACAAACTGGACCCTACAAACTGGACCCAACAAATC